CGATGGTGAAGTGTGAGACAAACTCGTCAAGACCTCTTCTGAAGTGCTCAACTTGAGAGACATGGTATATGCGAGTTTATGTTTGCCGACAGGCAATTGCTGCCACCAAATGATCACCTGCAATACATGCGATATTCACACTTTTGAGGTCTCTCTTTCTCTCTCTCCCCTGTCAACAGCGACGGCATAACCAGTTTCCATTTAATTAAGAACTTAAGGATCCTTGAAGTGAGGTAAGGAATTTTTGCTAAATGTATTATCCTTCAGAATTGACCTCGCCTCACCGTCTCGTATCTGCACCACGAAAGGATTGTGAAACCGACTCGTGTTCATCCTGGCAACATGTTACCACTCGTCGGCATGGTTACGAGCCTCAATGAGTTAAAAGGCAGATGTGGCAGTCAAGGCAGGCCACGCCTTCAATTGTTATAGGAAGATTGTCGAAAAGGCAAACATTTATTTGCCAAGAGATTATTTATTTTAATTGGAGTATGCAACGAATTTCAGTTTTTGCCAAAATCAAATAAGTTGGTCCCACTATGTTATTAAATTTTCCTCTCCTCATCCAAGATTGAAATCTTCCGCTTTTTATCCCTTGATCCCCTTAAGCAAGCTAGATTGACAATGCTCATATTCAAGAATGGATAATAGTATTAAAAGTGGGTTGACCTCGTTGTCGCAACTTGTTCTTGTTGTCAGGGCGACTAAGTAGAATGCACCTTGTCCGAAGTCGTCTGCCATAGTAGCTGTCATGATTCCCAGCATCAGACAGTGGACTTGGTACATTCTCAAACGTTTTGCCGGCATCGTAGAATAGCAAAAATCACTGATGATGCCGACTACGATACTGGTGAAACGTTTGAGAATGTACCAAGTCCACTGTCCGATGCTGTGAATCATGACAACTACTATGGCAGACGACTTCGGACTAGGCTCGTTCTAATAAGTCGCCCTGATAACAAGACAAAGTTGCTACAACGAGGTCAACCCACTTCTATAAATCGAAGAAAGACTGCGACCATACCAGAGGCCACAGCATCTTGGTCTTCATATCTTTAATTGTATTAAAACCTAACACGTGGAAACAAACATATATTTTGTATACATTCTAAATTCAACATAACCACTGCATCCTACACAATCTGATAAACAGCATGTTCTTGTGTGTTCGCCTGTATGGATGACTTTTAGGTTGGCCAGTGGATCCAACGTGGCATGCCTTGGGGCTATGGTCCACCGACTGATGGACAGACCTGGCTCAGCGACCTCTCAACGACTGCTGGACGCACGGAAATGATCCAGTTGACGTCTGGATATATTTCCTCTCCATTGGCTGTCTCTGCTGCCCCCATGTCAGACTGGACGTACCGTAGTCCTGTATCAGCCGTGCATTCGCGTGATCAGTCATGCATGACTGAATACTGGCCAGGCAACTCATTGGCCGACTCAGCCGACCTCGGCACCGTTGTCTCCATGACGACCATGGGCCCCGGAGGCCAGTTCCAGGGTCAAGGATATGCCGGCACAATTTTCAACACCCTTGACTCCGGCTTCCAGACGGAACCTGACCTGCTCACTTCAACGACTTCGGCTATCATGCTGCAAGGCATGGGGCAGGACGCTGCAAGCATAGACCCGATGCTCCCGGTAGGTGTCTGTATGTATGCCCAATCTAGGCTCATGCATTGGAATAGTTGGTAGCTTGGCTAAATTTCAAGTTGCGCTATAACTTCATGTTTTAGTTAGTCTTTTTCCTCCTCCCTCCGCCATTCACTTCCTACTGCATC